ACTCATGGACAGAGAATACAGACTTGTGGTTACCGGGATGGGGGGCGGGGTAGAGGGTGGGAAGGGATAGACTGGGATTTCAAAATTGTAGAATAGATAAACAAGATTACACTGTATAGCACAGGGAAATATACACAAAATGTTATGATAAATCACAGAGAAAAAAATGTGACAATGAGTGTGTATATGTCCATGAATGACTGAAAAATTGTGCTGAACACTGGAATTTGACACAACACTGTAAAATGATTATGAATCAATAAAAAATGTGAAAAAAATGCATGTATTTCTTCATTGGTCCTCCTTTTTTCACACACCTAAGAGAATATTCTCTTCCGGTCTACAAAGAAGAGCTCCATTATTTTTTTGGCCACATTTAATTTCATTGTGTGAATGTGCTATACATTCCATACCAAGTCCTGTCATAGTGGGCACTTTTGTTAGATTGTTTGCTGTTACAAATCATGTTGCAACTGTTTACATTTACCTCATTATTCTCGTGTTTGAATGTGCAGTTAGGATGGAGATTGGTTCACATTCATAACTGCATTTTTCAACATTGTGTGGTCACACCTGTGAACACTGTCACAGGTATTATGTAAAGGTGTGTGGTTCCCCACACCCTCACCACAAGGTTATTATCAAGTTTTTGGATGTTTACCCATCTGAGAGGTAAATAATAGTATCTACAAAAATTTTGTGTCTTTTTTAATTTTTAGTGGAATGGAACATCTTTATTTAGGAGTCATTAGTATTTCCATCCCTGGGAACAATTTGTTCACATCCTTGGTGTATATGTCTATTGGCTTGTTGATATATTTCTTATGGATCTCGAGGAGCTCTTTATATATTTTATTCATGAAATCAAAGATTCTCAAAATTTACAATGCATCAAAGTCATCTGGAGGGCTTGTTATTTATTTCTAACATTTCATTCCTAAACAAAATCAAACTGACAGACATGTTGCAAAAACAAAAAAAGTGCTAATGATACCCAGTTGCTCTTTCTTCAGGTGCACCTACTTTGAATATTTTTACCTCCATTTACTTTATTGTTTTGCATTTCTCTCTCTCCCTCCTACCCTCTGTTCCTGCTGGTTACATTGAAATAGAATTGATGGGTATTTTTTTTCTCCATATATTTAAGATTATTTGCAAAAAGAGGCAGGGAAATATGAATTTAAAGCTACCACCATTGTCAAAGTATAGTAGTTTTGTTCCTTTAACCAAGGGTCCAGTTCTCAATCTGAAAAGATAGTGACCAATCAGGAACAGGTATGCAGGGATGAGGTGAGTGGAGTCCGTGGTGGGGAGTTGATACCTGGACATTGAGTCTCCAGATACAGACTCTGTCTGCAGTATCACATGATGGGTATGGAGGATGGTGCTCAAGTGGAGATTCATGCCTATGTGAACCTCTCATGGTAACACATAAGCTTAGTCATTCCCAAAAGTTTAAAGGAAAATAAACCCCGGTGAGTTCTAGGGCCTGATCTTGACTATGGACTCTCCTTAGCCTCCAATTCTTCCAAGGCCAGAATTAATCATTCAGATCCCATAAAATTCTAACATTCACAACATGGAGAAAGTTATTCATAAACATCACAAATTTACCTTATTCCTCCATTTCTGAATTTTCTACACCAAAAAGTAAAAATTAAAATGTTGGAAAGGTCATTACCCCAGAGCAGGAAAGTGTGACTGTGGTCTCCTCTTTGCTGGGTCCCAGGAGGAGGATCCTGCGCTGGCTGTGATCACCTACGTGGGACTGAGCCTCTCTCTGCTGTGCCTCCTCCTGGCGACCCTCACCTTCCTGCTGTGCAAAGCCATCCGGAACACCAGTACCTCGCTCCACCTGCATGCAGCTCTCGATCTGCCTCTTCCTGGCCCACCTGCTCTTCCTCACAGCCATCGACCAAACCCAGCCCGAGGTACTAATACTTTCTCAAAAGGCCCCCTGCCCTGCCCCAGGGGATGCTGAGTTCATGAAGCCATGCTGCTTTGGACACTTTAATAAGAGGGCCCTGGGTTCCAGTTAGATAGGTAAGTAGCCAATTTCACATTGACCAACACAACTAGAAGACAAACCCTCTCTTAACTCCTTCATATACAGCAGCGTTTTCCCCAGTGGCAAAGTATAGGGGAGGTCCCGGTGCTGTGCTCCACCCTGACAGCCCCTCCTGGTGACACCTCCCTCCTTCCTCAGGTGCTGTGCGCCATCATAGCCGGCGCCTTACACTATCTCTACCTGGCCGCCTTCACCTGGATGCGCTGGAGGGCCTGCACCTCTTCCTCACTGCACGCAACCTGACGGTGGTCAACTACTCCGGTGTGAACAGATTCATGAAGTGGTTGATGTTCCATGTGGGCTATGGAGTCCTGGCTGTGATTGTGGCCATTTCTGCAGCATCCAGACCTCATCTATATGGAACACCCACCCGGTAAAAGCAAATTTTCACTGTCCTTATCTTCTCTAGCATGACCATGGTCATCACAGAACCCATGTAACCCTTTAATTTCACCAGAATATGATAGGCAGAGAAAAACTCAGTAACCACTGCCAAGACACATTCCTGGTTCATGACTGTATTCATTGATGCAACTGCTTTTCAGTCTTTAGGATTTCTTTTAAATGTTAATTATGTATTATATTAACAAATATATGTTTATGTAATGTTAATTAGACATTTTATTAATAATCATACACTAATCTCTCTTAATGATACATTAATAATTACAAATTAATATATAGGGAGGGAGGGTGTAGCTCAGTGGTAGAGTGCATGCCTAGCATGCACAAGGTTCTAGATTCAATCCCCAGGACCTCCATTAAATAAATAAACCTAATTACCTCCACATCCCCCCCAAAATTTTTTAAATTAATATATGATTAAATTAATGAGGTGATTGTTTTTGATCCTTTACAGTTAATTACTTTAAATATTATATATAAATGACTGTAATACTTACTATTAATAGTATCTCATGTATGAGTAAATTTATATTAATACCATATTCATTCTATTAATATCATATTCATTGCTTTAATTAACTTCCAATTATGCAAGATAAATAAGACCAGGAGATCTAGTACAGAGCATAGTGCCTATAACTAATAATGTTGTATTGTATACTTAAAATTTGCTGAGATGTTAGATCTTATGTGAAGTATTCTTATCAAAAAAAGCGATAATAATAATAACAATAATAAAGGAGAAGAAAAAAAACTTTGGGGATGAGGGATATGTTTATTTATCTTTATCCACAAAGGCCAATATATTCTTGGATCTCCTTCCATTTCTCTCAGATGCTGGCTCCAGACAGACAAAGGGTTTATATGGAGCTTTCTTGGCCCCGTCTGCACCATCTTCTCTGTGAGTAACAGATAGCATCAGAGCATTCTTCCCAGCCAACTAAGTGTCAACCAAAGAGCAGGGGTATAAGGAGGGTTATGGGCAGGGTGATCAGTTTTTCTAGTTTGCTCAGGAATAAGGGGGCTCCCAGGATGCAAGAATTTCTGTTCTAAAACCAGGATTGGGGTGGGGGGTCCTGAGATATGGGCCTTTCTATGTTAAAACATGGAAATTCCAATGCAAGCTGGGACAAGTAGGTCACCCTGGTTACAGAACAAGAATGTCCCTGAGTTACTGGGAGTTTGGTCAGATTTTCTATGACTGTTGTGAAATACAAAACCTTCCTACCTAGTTGGTGGGTGAGGTGTTGTGTGAGCCAAGAGGAGGGTTTAGCTGATGTGAATGTATTCAATATGCCTTCTGGTGTTTCTGCAGATTAATCTAGCTATCTTCCTGGTAACCTTCTGGATTGTGAAAAACAAGCTCTCCTCACTCAGCAGTGATGTGTCCACTCTCCAGAACACTAGGTGAGATGGATCAGAGATACAGGTTGCCCCAGACACAAAGTGTGGTCCCGGAGCAAGGCCATACAGTTCCAGGCTCCTGTTAAGGATAACACAGAGATTCTAAGGGGACCTGAGGAGAGATATGCAGCCACCTACCGTGGGAGGCAGCTCAGATGCTGTGATTTGCTACTGACACCCACGTCAAAAACATTCCATTTGTCCATAACCCAAGAACAAAACTACCTCAGCTACAGAAAGAATTGACTTTGTTCTGATTTTTTTTTGAAAGATTACTTCTGTGGCCCTATGAGAGATGTCCTGAGCACATTTACATCTTTATAAACCACTGAGGAAATTACATAACTGACCCAGGACTCAGCATGCACTTTCATGCCCACAATTTTGTCTATGCACCTTCCTCTATTCTTACCCACTCTTCCTCCTGGTGAAATCAAGTTTTTTACCCATATACTACATCTTCTAAGAGGCAAGGGATGTCCTTTGCCTTCCTCAACTTTTCAGAGAATGAATTGTTTCTATTCTGGGCAAGGCATGCTCTGGGTCAGTTCATGGAAGGGAAAAAGATAGGAGGGACAG